ATATATGGCATAAATAGACTATCTAGCATAACCCAAAATGCACAAACAGCAGAAGAAAAACTAGATGAATGGACCTTCTAAAAATTAAATTTGTATGTGCTTCCAAAGACTTCTCCAAAAAAAGAACCTACAGATTGAGAAAAAGCATTCGGCAATGACATATCTGACAAGGGACTTATCTCTAGAATTTATGGAAAACCCCAATACCTCAATAACAAAAAGACAAACAATCCAATTTAAAAATGGGCAGAAGACATGAACAGGCACTTCACCAAAGAGGATATTCAGCCAGCCAACAAACACATGAACAAATGCTCACAATCATTAGCCATTAGAGAGATGCAAATCAAACCAACAATGAGATACCATCTGGCTCCAGCACTAGTAGCAAAGTTCAACAAGACAGAAAATAACAAATTCTGGTAAGGATGTGGAGAGATTGGGACTCACTGCCGGTGGGACTGTCAAATGATACAACCATTGTGGAAAGCAGTATGGCGATTCCTTAAAAAGTTGGAATTAGAAATACCTTTTGACCCAGCCATTCTATTACTAGGTATATATCCTAAAGAAGTGAGAGCCAGGACAAGAACAGACATATCCACACCCATGTTCATCACAGCACTATTTACAATAGCCAAAATATGGAAACAACCTAGGTGCCCCTCTACAGAAGAATGGATAAACCAAACTATGTAGGAGCTCTGGTAGCATAGTGGCTAAGACACTTGCCTGCTAACCAGACGGCTGGCGGTTCAAACCCACCAGCCACTCCTCGGAAGGAAGGTTGGGCAATCCTACTTCCGTAGTGATACTGCCTCGGAAACCCAAGGAGGGGTCGCTATGAGTCGGGGCCGACTCGACGGCACATAACAACAACAACAACAACAACAACAACATGGTACATATACACAACGGAATACTATGCAACCCTAAAGAATAATGTAGAATCTGCAAAACACTGCATAACGAGAATGAACTTGGAGGACATTATGCTGAGTGAAATAAGTCAATCACAGAAGGACAAATATTATATTAATCCATTATTGTAAAAAGTCAAGGAAAGGTTTATATATGGAAGGAAATTTTCTTTCTTGGCTACCATGGGTGGAAGGGGAGGGGAAAGTACACTGTTAGATAGGTAGAGACAAGTATTGATTTGGGTGAAGAGAAGAGCAATGTACCAAATATGAGTGATCAACACAGTGGCACTGAGGAAGAAGACATAGAGAGGTGCATGGGAGGTACAGACCACAAAGATGAACCCTTTTGCACAGACGATACTGCATTGTCAGTGAAGGCAGACACCCACAAGGTGGATAGATGGGTGGACAGGCTGAACAATTAGGTATGTCAGTGCAGGGGGTAGTGTGCCCATGATCATGTATAGGGTTGATAGACAATGTTTCTACAAGTGTATTTGTATGTTCTGTAACAATTCCCAGGTTTGTAGAAGAGCTGACAAGGGACAAGGTTGTAGTCACTTCTTGGCCATAGACAAGCTACCCAGAGGGAACAAGTAGTTGGACCGGTGTGCTCGGGACCACAGTCTCAGGGGACATCAAGCTCAATTGGCATAACATACTACACACAAACATTATTCCACATCCTACTTTGGTGAGTAGTGACTGAGATCTTAAAAGCTTGCAAGCAGCCATCTAGATGCAACAATGGGTCTCTCCTCATCCAGAGCAAAGAAAAATGAAGAAAAACAAAGACATATGGAAACAATTAGCCCAAGCGACTGGTACACCATGCGATCCTCAGCCTAAATGACTATGAGACCAGGAGAACTAGATGGTGCCCGGCTACCCTGTCAACCACGAAGAGGGGGAACTCTGTAGGAGATCCTGGATAGAGTGGGAGAACAATGTAGAACAAAACTCAAAATCATTTAAAAAAAAAAAAGGACCAGGTTTGCTGGTCTGATAGAGCTTGATGGAACCACTGAGACTATGGCCTCTAGTTATCCTTCAGGTCTGGAATTGAACCCACTCCTGTGGCTTCCAGCCAAACAAAAAGACAGACATATGAGCTGAATATTTATATAATGTAGATAGACTCCTTAGAGAGAATAATTATGGGAGAACAGAAGGGCTGTATATGCACAGGGAGACAGCTCAGGGGGCAGGAGTGCATGGGAAGGAAGGTTACAGGGAAAAGGAAACTATGGGGAGGACGTGGGAGGGGAGCTGTTGCATTGTGGGAAATTACAGTCAATGTTATGAGTCAAAGCGTATGTGTGCTGCTGTATGAAAAGTGAATTTGCTCTGTAAACTTTCGCCCAAATCACAATTTTTAAAAAAAAGATACTAGCATACTGAATTTACTATTATGTAACATTTCAAAGAGCAAATCAAACTGATAGCGTATATGGTTTGTATATTACATATTAGAACATATGCAATAAAAGTAGAAAATATGGAAATGATACACAAGTGAGCTTGTGCAAGAGTGCAGTGAGCTCTAGGGAATGAGGAAAAAGAAAGGATTGCTGTATAAGGCTGTAGCCTGTGTCTAAAAGTTTTTGTTTCTAAAAGGAGAAGGGAATCACTTGAATTTAATTGAAATATTGAACAAATATGCATATGTGACATAATGTTCTGCTCTTTTTTTGCCATTTGAAAGGTTTCAGAATAAAAAATTAAAATACTAAAAAAAAAAAAATACATGTTTAAATGACATAAATATCATCATATTAAAAAAACAAACAAGTTCCCTCTAAGACCCATGCATAGTAGCTTTATTTTTAATAGCCAAAAATAAATGTCCAATAAACAATAGGCGAATGAATAAACAAGATGATGTGTATCTATACCACGGAATGGGAGCTCTGGTGGTGTAGCACCTAAGGCATTTGACTGCTAACCAGAAGGCTGGCGGTTCAAATAGCCACTCCTCGGAAGGAAGGTTGGGCAATCTACTCCCATAGTGATACTGCCTCAGAAACCCAAGGAAAGGTCGCTACGAGTTGGATCCAACTCTTTGACAGTGAGATTGGTTTTTTGGATACCATGAAATATGACTTAATCATAAAAAGGAATGAACTATTGATATACTCAACAATACAGATGAATCTCAAAATAATTATGTTGAGTGAAAGAAGCCAAACAAATAGGTTTGACACTGTGTAAAACTCTGGAAAATGCAAACCAATTTTTAGAGACAAAAAGCAGATCAGTGGTTGTTTTGGAAGAAGGCTGGAAGGAACTGGAGGGACGGATTACAAAGGGGTATGAGGCATCTTTTGGAAATGATGGATATGTTCACTATCGTGACTGCAGTGATGGTTTCACAGCGTACGTATGTATACATATGCCAAAATGTATCAAATGGTACACTTTAAATACATGAAATTTACTGTATGTTAATTATACTTCAATAAAACCAAAAACCAAACTCACTGCCATTGAGTCAATTCCAACTCACAGCAACCTCCTTTGGGTTTCTGAGGCACTAAATTTTTATGGAAGTAGATTGCCCAGTCTTCCTTCCACAGAGTGGCTGGTGGGTTTGAACTGCCAGCTTTCCGGGTATCAGTCAAATCCCTTAGGCACTACACCACCAGAGCTCCTTTTAAAACTGTTAGAAAATTACATAGGAAAAATAATAATACAACTACCAGATTTCAGGAAATCCAAAATACTCAAACTGGAAAAAATTGGAAATACCCAATGAAGTATAAACAAAGAAATGAAAATAGTTCAGTATGATTAGAAGGACAACTAGAAAAAGAAAATGAAAAAATGTAAGTTTAGCAAGGCAAGTAGTGACGGAGATAACTTAGTTTAACATGTCCATGGAACATTCCATCCAAGCAGAGAATTGCTGTGGCAATGCTAACAAATTATCCTTGGCTTAAATAATCTTTCAGATCCCATTTTCTGGTTCTTGTGTACTTTATCCAAATAAAACATGGAATACTCATTCAAATATCTATCATGGCCATAAACTACACCAGACACCGAGGATGCAGCAGAAAGCAAGAAAAACACAACACCTTCCCTCAAGGAGCATGTGGTCCAGCAGGGACGATAGACAATGAACAAGCAGTAAGTGTGTGGTGGATGTTCTGAAAGTTATCAAAACATCTATTAAGTGGGTCTAACCTTCTTTTGGGGGGTGGTGAGGAAAGGAAAGGCCTTCCTAAAGTGATATTTAACCTGAGTGAGACCTGAAGGGTGAGCAGAAAGTGCCTCAACAAGGAGGGACACAAACACTGCATGCAGAAGCAGTATATCCAAAGGCCTGGTGCTGCAGCAACAGGGTGTTGAGACCAGTGAGAAGCCCTGTGTGGCTGGAGGGAGTAATGTGACCAGAGGTGGGCAGAGCATTACTGAACCCTGAAAAAAAAAAATCAAGGATTTTTTTTGGCACTAACTAACTCACTCGCTGCCATCAAGTCGGATCTGACTCACAGTGACCCCTCCTTGGGTTTCCAAAGCAGTATCACTATGGAAGTAGATTGCCCTATCTTCCTTCCAAGGAGTGGCTTAGTGGTTTGAACCGCCAGCCTTCTGGTAAGCAGTCAAATACCTTAGGCACTGCGCCAAAAAATTAAATTAGGTGCTTTTTGGAACTTCACTTCAAAAGTACTTTCTAAACTCTAACCCTGTTATAATCAGTACACATCCGAGATAAAAAAAATCAAGAGGTTGCACTAATGACAAATGTAATATACTATACATAAAGCATTCTTTAAAAACAATGTCACTAAAAAGGTAGATATTGATTAAAGGGGAAAACTCATACTTTGAAAATAAATTATGGTCTGGAACTCAAAGTAGGTATTCTCATATTGCAGTCTCCTATCACACACAGATCCTAATACCACTCACAACAATTCCGTGGTTTAAAAAAATAAAGTGTCATTTCAAATTATTTTATAAAATGTATGTAAAAACAACTTTTTTAAAAATGAGAGAACTATGAAAGTGCCTAATGTGGAATCCAGCCTTCAACATAGACTTTTCCAGTAGCCTTAATGCAGAATGCCTTACTTTGCCAACCACTCAGCAGCGGCCTTGTTGTCTGCAGCCTGGTGCTTACTGAGCGTGTCTGTGAGCTCCTCTCTCTTCAGTCTGGCATACGGATGCTTCGGACAGTGGCGGTTTGCATGGGTGAACCTGCTTAGGCAGCCTTCAAAACACAGAGGGAAACACTTATCAGAATCTGTACATCCAGCACACAGACATGGAAAAATGCTCAGTTTCACTGGCATCTAAGAAAAGTGAATTAAGAGTGAGGTTCAGCATTCTAAAAATTTGAATGGGAAAAAATTCCTAAAGGCAGGGAGATGGTGAGAGAGGTCTTTCTTGTCTTGGTGATGGCAATGTAAATATGTCCAATGCCCCTGGGAAGTGTTAGGACACAAATCATAAAAAGGTTCAAGACCTCTGATTCCTTTATTACAATTTATCATAAGGAAATATCCCAAAGAAGAACAAAATAAACATTCAATGTCCAACATCGAGGCAATCATTGTGTACAGACTTATTAAGCAAAGTCACCAGATGAAATAATTCATAGACAGTTCTCACATCTGTTACGATAATCCAGAAAACTATAGCTATAGAGCAACATTCTATCATTAAGAAATCAAATGACATATTTCATCGGACAAATCAGCTGCAAAAGACCTCTTTAAAGTGTTAAAGAACAAAGATGTCACTTTGAAATCTAAGGTGCGCCTGACCCAAGCTACTGTTTTTTCAGTAGCTCTATTTGCATGTGAAAGCTGGATAATGAATAAGGAAAACTGTAAAAGAATTAAATCATTTGAATTGTGGTGTAGGTGAAGAATACTGAATATAGCATGGACTGCCAGAAGTACAAACAAATCCATCTTGGAGAAATACAGCCAAAATGCTCCTTAAAAGTGAGAATGTTCAGACTTCATCTCTTTTACTTTGTACTTTGGTCATGTCATCAGGAGGGACCAGTCCCTGGAGAAGGATATCCTGCTTGGTAAAATAAAGGATCAGTGAAAAGGGGGAAGACCCTCAATGAGATGGATTGACATACTTGCTGCAACAATGGGCTCAAGCATGGCGACAACCATGAGGACGGTACAAGACACAGCAGACTTCCTTCTCTTGTGTAAAAGGTGCTATGAGTCAAAACAGACTCAGTGGCACCTAACAACAACAACATAGAAACACAGGATAAAACTGTAGTTAATTTCAAATATGACTATGTAAAAATATACATAAGAAAAACAACTGATAATAAAATACTATCAGCAACCAGTTAAGATATTAAAATTTCCTCACTCTTCCCTGAAAATTTAGATAAAAAATTGTGCTTCCTTCAGTTTAAAAGTCACAAAATTCAAAACCAATGTAAAGCTCTACCCCAAAGGCTGTATTTACTTTTGTACATTTTTCTACTGCCTACAACTGGATATTGTATTCTTATTTGTCCTTTAAGATTTTCATCTTAATACTATATTTAAAAACAAATCATTTCAAAGAAGTTCAACATAGCTTATAATTAACAAGGAAGAAAGCATATATATTTTGTAAAATCCATATAAAAAATTTCCCCCTCCATCTGTATAGGTGATCCTGGATAGAGTGAGTGAACAATGTGGAACAAAACTCAAAACTATTTAAAAAAAAAGAAAAAGACCAGGCTTGCTAGTTTGATAGAGCCTGGTGAGACCCTTGACATTATGTCCCCTAGCTGCCCTTCAGGTCTGGAACTGAACTCCTGTGGCTTCTAGCCAAACAAAAGACAAGCATATGGGGTAAACATTTACATCAGGTAAATACACTCTTTGGAGAGACAGATGAGGGGGGGTGGGCAGAAAGAGGCAAGGGAGGGAAGGACACAGGGAAGAGGTAACTATGAGGCAGAAGTGGGAAGAGAACTGTTACACTGGGAAACTGCAGTCAATGTCATGAGACAAAATCTGTATGAACTGCCATATGGAAAATGAATTTGCTCTGTAACTTTCACCCAAATCTCAATAAAAATTAAAAAAAAAAAAAAATTCTCCCCTCAAAACTCCAAGCAAAAGTATTTTAACTTTTAACTCACAACTAGTTATTCCATGAACTTAACTTCAAGCATCATACCATTTTCTGAACAAACAAAAGGTTTCTCTCCGGTGTGAAGCCGCTGATGTGTTTTGAGCTGCCCACTTTGAACAAAGGCTTTTCCACAGTCTGGATAGTCACACATGTATGGCCTCTCACCTGTGTAAGTAGATGTTACATATTATTTCTGAGAGAATATGTGAGAAGAGGAAAGGGGAAGAAAAAGAGAATCAACCTTTATATAGGTCATGCCCCCCAACAAAACAATAAGAAGATGTCACAGCCTCTTCAGAACTGTAAATAGAAATGCTAACAAGAGCACTTTCATGATACCAAGTGCTCTCAGCTTAGAAGCACAACATCATTTTCTTTAAGCCTTGAGTTTTACTTCAGGATCAAATTCTTAAAGTTATCGTCTTTGGCTTATCTTATTTTTTATCCCCCATAATCCGAATCACTAGCACTTGCTGATTCTTTAAAATGTCTCCCACTCCTGATTTCCAAGTGCCAGCTTCCCTGGTTGGCATCCCCTCCCAGGTGGAACGTACCCTGTGACAGTCTCTCAGCTGGTTTCTGGTCTTTCCCCTACAGGGTACTTCTGGAGTAGCTGGCACAGACCTCTGCTTTTGTCATACCAATGTGTCTCCTAAACCGCCTCATATTCTATTACATTCAGATTCCTGTTCCACAGCATAGTTGCTGAGGCCTGGGATGTATTAGGTGACACACTGATGAGGATCACACAATGGGTAAGTGGTGGATCCGGGATGGGGACTCAGGGCTCCTTTATTTATGCAACACAGTCTTATTTAGGCTGGCAATAAATATGCTATGGCCTGTGTACCAGGTATTTGGGGTATTTTTGAAGTAGTTAGACTGAAAAATTACAAAAATTCTCAAAATTATCCTATTTTATTCAGTAGTAGTTTTACTGAATAGTATCGAAAGTCAAACTCTCTAGTCACCTTAGCTTGTAATGATTCAAAAATTAAAACTGCTAGTTTTGGGGGACTTAGCTAAGAAAACTATATTCTACCACATCATCAGAATGTATCTTTTCAAACACCAAAAGAAAAAACAAACAGTAATGACCATAATCATAGTGGGAAAAATAGAGAACTGATTTTCAAGCCCAAGTTCTAGACCAGTACAAAAAAAAAAAACCCAAACTCACTGCCTGGAGTTGTCCCGACTCATAGCAACCCCTCCTTGGGTTTCCAAGGCACTATCTCTACGGAAGGAGCTCTGGTAGCTTAGTGCCTAAAGCACTTGACTGCTAACGAGAAGGCTGGCAGTGCAAATCCACCATCCACTCCTCGGAAGGAAGATGGGGCAATCTACTTCCACAGTGATACTGCCTCGGAAACCCAAGGAGGGGTCACTATGAGTTGGGTCTGACTCG